AATAATATTTCTCACCCCCCCCCACGTTTGACCACTACTGGGCCCGGGGCCAAACAGTCTTAGGGGCGCATAACCATAATTCAAATACTGGTGACCTACAAAACAATACATTTCAGAGACTAAAATAAAAATTATTTATTAATTTAAAAGCAGATGTCATTAAAAGATCTTCCTTCTTATTTTTCTTTTCTGAGCATCACTTAAATACTTTTTACAGCCACTCATATTCAATTTTACTTMAAATTTCAATACTTAAAAAGTTGACAAATTGTGTTTGTAAAAACACACAAACACTAACCGCTGTTAAATTGTTAAATGTTATTGCCACTTCAACTAAAGATTGTATGACGTACAAGACTTGTATGTTGTATTGTTATTTGTTTCCTCAGAAAAACAACGTAAATAAAATTTGTTGTAATCAATAAAATATAGTTAGCCTATAGGAAAAGTTAATGTATCTATTGTAGCCAAATATTTCTAACTTAATTAATCCGCCTTAGGCCAACTAAAATCAATACATTTCATCAGTTTAAAAATCTTGTTATAATAATTGACTAACAAAAATATCGAGGAATAAAATCAATGTGAACATGAACGATGAACCTATCATAAATGATCTTTTTAATAAATATTAAAAAATAATTTTTAGTAGGTATATATTATATTTATAATAGATGATACTCAAGACTCCACTATATTTGAATCAAATATTTTATTTTCACAAACTTTAGACTAGTATATAAATTGTACCTATAATACTGCAATAGATGGTACAATTTGGCATGTGCCAAACAGTTGAAATAGAAAATCATATTGACTATTGTTACATATACATGATATTATAACCTATTTAAGTTTGGTATAAATGTTAAATTTTCACTTTTTGTATATTTTCAATAATAATTATGTGTTAGCCAATCGTTAATATGTATTTCGAATTAACCGATTGAACAAATATTTCAAATGATGTATTTTATTTTCGTATTCAATCCAAAACATTTTTATTCATAGTTCATACCTAAGAGAGGTTCTTCAATGTCAAGGTTTACAGTGTGTACCTATTAAATCTTGCAATAAGTAGTAGTGTTTTACATTCACGTGTACCAACTAGATAAAAATATTAASTACAAACATTTATAAGCTAAACACATGGGTCTAATCGTGCATGCATTCATTAGGTATATTCTGATGTAAAATAATAAATACTAAAATGCAGTTTGTGCTCAATGTATGCAACGCATATCATCATAAATATTCATGATATTATTTGTTATTACTATATTATCCCGTGTGGTACCTACCTTAACTTACAATAATATATGCGGTAAAACTATCTAATATATATTTATATTTGATATAAATAACGATAATATATAATATAATACTAAATAACATTAAAATTAAATAAATTTGCATGTACAATATACGCAACTAGTTTATTATATAGGTACTGACTACAATTTTATGTAATCAGTCAAGTTATGTAGAGTATTACACTATGATACAAAAATACAAAATTTAAGAATAACAGATATTAATTGTTATTTTATTTAATTGATTTTTTATTATTTTCTTATGTTAACTACAAAACTACAATGTATACAGTACCTACTTAGGTTAAGTTAGGTGGTACCTCTCTCATGCCTACATTTATATATCACCTAGGTACTAAAAATATGACTTATTACTTATTAACAGGGCTCAGGTCTTCAAGTATTTGCTTATTTTTATAGATTGACTTAAAATGTAGCATAGTGCTATGGAAGTGTATGTCGTGTTATAATACGTTTAATTATGAAGTTTGAAGTGCTTTTTTCGCTTGTTTCAGTGATTTTTCAAAAAAATGCTTATTTCCAGCTTTTCTGATTATTTTTGATTATTTGTCCAGTATTTATATGTTTTTATAATGTTTTCAACTATTATAAAAATCGTTTACATTTCATTTTTCAGAAAATCCCTCGGAAAATCCATAAAATCCTTAAAGTATCGAAAGTGAAATTAAATTAATTTTATAATATAAAGATCACTCTGACCTTAATATCCCATAGATACATAAGCACTCTAGCCTCCCACTACTATAAATTATTTCACAATAACACAGTCAACCACCCTAATCCACTCATTTCCAATCTCTCTTCCGTCACTCACCCCTATAACC